GGAGAGGAAAGTAGTTTCCTTACAGTTAGATGAATTCCTTCAGTTCTTTCCTGCAGTGTCTTTGATCCTTTCCTTCAGTTTCTTTCCTTCCTCAGACTGAATACACGCAGGCGGCATGGCACATGGGGGATGGAAGGGAGCTCTGGCGTCAGGTGATCTTGGGTCTGACTCTCAGCTCTCACTTGGGAGCTCAGTGGCTTTGAATCAGTTGTGTTCCTCATCTGTAAAACAGAGACGCAGATAGCTGCTGGATGGAGTTACTAGGACTGAATGTGACATGGTTTGTAAAGCGTGTGCGTCCCCAGCTGCTAGGAGGTGCAAACGGGGATAGGTCTATTTATCTCTCTTGCGAAGGTGAGTGAAGTGATGGGTAGGAGGACCTCGGGAGGAGCCTCACATCAGCGGTTTGCCGCAAACCCGGGGGCCAGAGCGAGCTGTAGGTCTGGGTCTGTCATGGAGACCCTCAAGCTCAGATGTCCAGGCTGGTGCCAGGACGCTGGGATCACAAGGGGTCGTGGGTTCTCCATCCACTGGGGCTGACTGTCCGCCAACAGATGCTGTTTCAGTCCTGGGATAGTTCTCACAGCTTGCAAGATACCAAGGGCTCCGTTCTGGTGCTCTGCGGTCAGGCGCTCGTGCGGGTGAGCCCCAGGGAGGTCAGTTAGGACCTCCGGGAGGAGCCTCAGCCCTGGTCTGCTGGGGTTGGGAATTCCCTGGTTGGGAATCTCTGGCATCTGGGTAGGGACAGCCCCCGCCCAGTGCACGCCCAAGGAGAGAAGGGCGCGGCAGGCCGTCTAGACAGCTCGTCCTGGCTGCCAGCCTGTGGCTTCATCCCTGGGGACACGTGGTCGACATGCCTCCAGACTGCTAAGGGGATCTGAAACTTTAGACTTGGAATAAGCACACAGAGAGGTCTACTTGGAGCCCTTCACGTTTAGCTCCTAACTTCAGAGGGTTGAGGAATTGTGGGCTTGGCTGTGGCCACTGTTACCACCATTTGCCTTCCTGGCTTCCCAGAACGTGTGGGTCTGCGAAGGGCCCTAGTTCTGCCGCCTGACTTCTGGCAGATGCTCCCCAGTCCTTTCCCATGACTGTTGATATCTGCTGTCCTAGACAGGCCAGCTCAGAAGCCGGTCCGTGTGTCTGAGATTAAAAAAAAAAAAGAGTTAAGACCACCAGAAAGATTTTCTAAGTAAATAATTCACAATAAGGCAAAAGCCACTTTAATTAGCTTTTTCTCAGTTCGGTACTTTGGTTAAATGAAATTGCCTATTTTATGTCTACCTTTTCTTTTATGTTCTTAAAAGTGCATATGAAGATTAAACCATAACAAAAAAAAGTCACACAGTTTTCAGGTCTCTGGCATAATTGGAACACAGATATTTTGTTGTTGCTCTAAATCAATTTAATCTTTCCAGAAAGCACACTAGCTGAGTGTAAGCAAAGTTATAAAATTATTCATTGCTTCCCTTTCCACTGGCTGCTCAATTTTAGGACTCTATCCCGAGGAAATCTCTTCTCCTGCAGAACAAACAGAGGAGGTAAAATATGCCTTGCCCAAAGAGTTTCTCCCTCACCGTGACAGTGAAAGTGGATAGTCCTGTGACGTGTAGGCCTGGCTGAGGAGCAGTGAGTGAGGCAGGGTAGTGTCTGCCATCCTGCTGCCTCGCAGTCCCCTGCGGAGAGAGCAGGTGCAGGGGAGAGGCCACACCCCAGATCCTGTGCACACAGTGATTTTCACCTCGTGGTCCGAGGCGGCCCAGAGTGCTACCTGAGCTCCTTACTCCATACCTTCAGGTTCGGGCACTCCAGGGGCTCATTCTGACTTCCCCGCAACCAGCACTGGGGAGGACTGGGGAAGTTCCTGACCGTTTTCAAACCTGGGCCCTGGTGCTGTCAGGCTGCGTCTTTACCAACTCAGAAGAGAATTTGGAACAATGTAAATACTATGTGTGCTCACTGGCTTGTGTTTTGTTTCCTTCTAAAGTTGCTTGCTTGAATTTATATAAAAATAAAACAATTTTGAATATGATAGTGGTCCTAAAAGATTTTATTTATTTGAGAGAGAGAGAGAGAGAGCATGTGCAGGAGCAGGGGAACAGCAGAGAGAGAGAGAGAGAATTGCAAGCAGACTCCCTGCTGCCCACAGAGCCTAACTTCAGGGCTCGATCTCACGACCCTGAGATCACGGCCTGAGCCGAAATCAAGAGTTGGACACTCAACCGAGTGAGCCACCCAGGCGCCCCAATAGTGGTTCTTTTATTATACTCTTGAATGTAGGGTCATGAGTTATTTAGAAAAACCAGTCTTTATAGGCTTCTCAGTGGCTTAGCATCTGATTCCTGCCTCTCACTTGAGCATCAATAACAGATTTTTCATCAAAAATCCCAGACTTATTTTTGAGATTCCTACAGACCTGGATGATAGAAGTCTCTACTTTTGTACAAGAGGATTTTAAATAAACTAACATTTTAAAGTGAGTATTTCCGGTTGGTAGAACATAATGTATGCGTGTGTGTCCAGATATCTCTGTGCAGAAGTTTAATGTCGGTGAGCTCTCATTGGTGAATGTTGTAGAGAATCCGAGGGACAGTGGTTTTGGAGCCTTGTGCTTTATGTTTATAGCTACTTGTGTGTATTTACATACATGCCCACATGTGTGGGCACCTAACTACCCCCATACATACACCCAAATAAATACATAAACACAGCATACACACATTCTTCATATGGTTTCTCTTTGTCTGAATTAACTGCTTTCAAACTATCGTTTTGATGTGCCAGATAGAGTTCTGTTTGGCTTCTGGATGCTTCCCTCTCAGGGAGGATGACATCCACAATTATTCCCAGGTTCTGGAGGCAGCAGAATGCTCCAAATACTCCTTAATAAGAGGTCATTGGAATGCCTTGCTCTTGTGGGATCATCTGTTTTTATGCTGATGAGCTGGTACCTGCTGGTTTTTTAAAATTCTCCCAAATTTGGCATTAATTTTTGAAGAAAAAATTTGGAAATGACAGCAAATGAGTCCACAGATGCCCGCCTTTCCTCCTTCATCCCATCAGTGGAGCTCATCCTTGCATCACTCAATTCCATGGGAAAGAAAAAGATGACTATGACCTTGTCCTGCCCCTGAGAGGGAAACGGGGTGTGTGCGTGTGTGTGCATGCACATGTGCGCATGTGTACACACCCACACACACATAAATGCACTTGAAAGTTAAAAATGAAGTGCATTAGACACAGAAGATTGAGTAAATATATAGACCATCTCTTGGATGACTGCAGTGGACCCCTTCCTGGTCTTTCCGCTAGTGAAGTGGGTGGGAAAATATGTTTGTGATATTAAGTCGGTAGATAATAAGAGTACCACTTACATAAAAGTTTGACAACCACTGCTTCAGTGTTTCCCCCCAAGACCGGCCTCAGACTAGACCCCACAATCTCACGTTGTCTGTTCCAAAAGATGCCCAGCTTGTCCCTGACCGCACACAGCAGCCTTTCGGGCACAAGCTGTGATCCTCCTGGCTTAGCATCTCTTGGCTGTCAGATTGGATGGAACCCACAGCCGTCTGTGTACCTACAGGCTTCGGGACCCGCCCCCCGGCCCCGTCCCTCCCCAGCTACCACCTGCACCCCACCAGCCGCACTCACTCTAGCTTCGGGATTCACAGTTCAAGACCAATCTAGCTGAACTCAGCCATACATTTCTGAGAAATGTACCGATGTCGTCATTTAAGGAGTCTAAGAACTGTAGTAAAAAGTACTTTGTAAATCAGCTTTAGAGTTTTCAAAGTCCTCATTTATACAAAGATATGGGAAATGTGTTTGTCACTCAGCGTTCACTGAGTTACGTGTTCTGTTGTGTCCCCACTGTGGCAAGGCTATTCAGAGTCCTATCAGCTGTCTCTGGGAAGGCTTTCCAGAGAGGGCATGGATATTAGTGACCGGTTGCTGTGTAACAAATGACCCCAGAATTGAGGAGTTTAAAACCACGGGCTTTATCTCACACAGTTTTCCTGGGTCAGGAATCCAAGAATGGCTTAGCCGGGTAGTTTGGACTCAGGGTCGGTCATGAGGTTGCAGTCATCCGATCCGCCTCCCAGCTCACTCTCAAGGTTGTAGGGAGGCCTCAGGTCCCTACCACATGGACTTGGCCATCAGCTGCCTGTGCATGCTCACAACGTGGCCGTCGCCTTCCCCAGAGCAAGCCATCTGAGAGAGTGAGACCAAGCTAGACACAGCAGTCTTTTTTACCTCATCTCAGAAGGGACATACCAGCCCTTCGGCCGCATTCCGCTGATGGCAGAGACCAACCCTGGAACTGTGTAGGAGGGGTCTGAGCAAGGGTGGGAGCCCCGGGAGCTGGGAGGCACTGGGGCCCGTGGAGGCTGGCTGCCGCACCTGTTCCAAGAGGGGCTTGGAAGGAAGGAAAGGGATGGGGTCGTTAGGGAGGGAGTCTGCGGTTGAAAGGGCACAGCCCTGCTCACTTGTTTTTCTTTTAACCAAGACTCCTCTCCTCTTACTGTTCGCTTCTCTCCACCAGCCCTCATTGTGCAGATTATGAAACACTCAGGCATTTGCCTGCAGCGGTTACCTCCTCCCAGACAGGGAAGCTCCTACAACTCAGAATCACACAAAAAAGAGGCCAGTATTTATTAATGAGGGCTCCCAGGCTTGCTGTCTCATTTCTTTTAAACCCGAGGCATGTGGGTGCTGCTTATTTCCTGGGTGTATATAAACACAAAGCTTGGTTATTACTGGAACCGTTCTAGAAGAGTGAAAATTGCCAGGAACCTGGGTCGCTTGGGGAACTGAATCTTCTGGTTGCTGCAGTTTCCCAGGGAGCTCTTCCAGATCTGTTTACCAGTGAATCGTCCCATGTAGACAGAGAGAGAGTCTCCCGCCTTCCAAAGCTTAGTTGACTTCGTTGGTGAGGGACCCGGGAGTGGGACCCCAGGGCCCTTCGCTTAACGTGACTTGGGTGTCTCCGTGATCTTCAGGCAGGTTCCAGCAGTGGCCCGGGGCAGAGAGTGTGTGTCATCGATGAGATTGGGAAGATGGAGCTCTTCAGTCAGCCTTTCATCCAGGCCGTTCGTCAGACGCTGTGCACCCCAGGGACTGTAGTCCTGGGCACGATCCCAATACCTAAGGGAAAACCGCTGGCCCTCGTGGAGGAAATCAGAAACAGAAACGACATTCAGGTGTTCAGTGTGAGTACAGCTTGTCCCCCGTGCCTATAAAAAAGGAGCAGGTGACCTCAAACAGCGGGGTGGCTTTGAAACGTAACTTTGCTTTGAATTACCGTTTTTCCCCCCTTGGAGGCTAGATCCAGGTGAGTCTGATTTTCTAGGAGTTTATAGAACTTAAGTTTTGCCTGTGCTCGGTGAAAAAACACACTTCCCTGCAGCCACGGCGTGAAACACGGCTTTCAGCTACTAGGCCGTAGTCCAGGGCAACAGAACTGTGGACGAGGGTGGGGATGTCCCGCCTGCACTGGTCAGTGCCGTAGCCATCAGCCACCTGTGACTACTTCTGTTCAAATACAAGAAAAACTTCCTGTCTCCGGTCACTCTGCCCTCGCGGACGGCACAGCTGCGGAGCGTGTCAGGCAAAGTGACGTCCGCGGAACAGCCGTGGGGGCATCACGCGGGGGTCCGCGAGCCGCGCAGAGCTGTAGGCGCGCCCGGACCCCACGAGTCAGACCCGGGGCATGGGCCCAGCGGCCTGCTTTCGCGAGCTCGCAGGTGGTTGTCACGTGCTCGTCGGGGGCGTTGTGCGGTAGAGCACGGGTGAGTGAGGCCCGGCTCTGTCATACCAGCCAGTGGCCGTGGCCAAGCGAGCGCAGGGGCCTCTGATGGCACCGCGGGCACTCTGCCCACATACGTGGTTTTCCTTCCCCTTCGTCTCTCTGGGTCCTTCTCAGCTAACTCTCGCCCTGCGCGCCCTCTGTGTCAGTGAGGGAGCCCTGTTCCCAGCTGAGCTCTGCCCGCCCCCTCGCCCGCCCCCACCCCCACCCCCACCCCCAGGGTAACCGCTCACAGGCCCTGCGAGGCCTCGCGACCGGGTCCGGCTGGTCCCCCCGCCCCGGGGAGCGTACCGCGCGCACCTGCCGGCTTGCCGGCCCCGTGGGACGTCCCCGTGTCGTCACCGGAGTATCCAGGGGTACTCTGGCGGCAGTAAACCGCTGTTCGGGTTGGAGCAGCCGGCCTTGGACAACTTCGTGCCTCCCTTCCTTCATTTAGTCAGTAGTCAGTGAGCAGCGCCTTGTGCTAAGTCCTGATGCTGAACAAGACCAGCCAGGTCCGCGTCCTCCACAGCGCACCGTCTAGTAGGGGCTGGGCCACAGCACGTACTGACAAGGGCCATGTGGTCGCTGGGCTGGAGGTGGGTGGGGGCGGGGAGGTCTCTCCGCGGAGCTGCCCGGTGCGCTGAGAGCCCTGCAAGGTCACGTGCTCAGTGACGTCTTCCAAGACCGTGGGGCCCTGGTGTGCAGAGTTTCATGGTGCTCCCTCGGTCTCTTACTGTACGTGGTCTCCAGGTTAGAGTCTTGGGTTGGGATTCTAGAGTTTCTGTGGAAGTAGGGCCAGTGACCAGTGAGAGAGGGTGAAAGACCACTGGTCTTCAGGCCGGCCGGCTTCCAGGCTGGAAGGTGGGTCGTTGCTGCGGTTAAACTCCGGACGCCGGCCGCCCCTGCAACCCAGTGTCGTCTCCAAGTCCTAGATGGGATTGAGCAGACACGGCTGGTGTGTCCAGGAGAAAACGGTGTATCTTAGGGTAATACCACGTTTTCTCCTTGCTGAGACTGGAAATTATTCTCTGGGCAAGGTAATCATTGCTCCTAATGATGTGTAAATAAAGTGATTAGCTTTGGATTAATTATGTAAGAGATAGGGGCTCACGTACCCCGTTCTTCTTGTCTTTCCTGTGTTCCTTTAGGGCTTGGGTGAGCTTTCTGTTCCCGTTTTACACATGAAGAATCTCATTTTCCTTATTTGCAAATTTAGGGGTTGGATTAGCTATTTCCTGGTCCTTTCCCTTTCTCAGATGCAGTGAAGTTCTCTGAACCCCTGTTTGAGAGCATCCTGTGCATCCAGCACTTAGTCCAGAGGCACACATGAAGCATGTTCCCTCCCCTCGAGAAAAGTAGGTGATGTGATAGTCAAAATCTGGAAGCAGAGAAGGGACAGAATTCTGTGGGGAGAGGTGGTCCAAGGGACGTGGTTCTTGGGTGGGTTTTGAAGGAGGAATTGGGGAAAAGAAGGAAGAACATTCCAGGTGAGGAAATAATTTATGTGAAGTGGGGAGAGCCGCCTCCCCTTGTGACAACTGAGCCTGTTCGGACGGGGAGGTGGAACTGAACTCATGGGGGGAAAGAGGAGCCCACTGAGTGACTCCCGTTGCCTAGACTTATTCTTAATAGCATCACGTAAACAGAGCATTGCTTTTTAGAAAAAAAAGCTCAGAACACTTCCTGTTCTAGATAAGGTCGAATAGATACACTTCTCCCTCTTCCTCCTGTTAGGTATAGCTGAAAACCTTGGACATTACATAATTAAACAAACCTACGGAGACCTGAAGGGTGGAAAGAAGGCAGCACACCGGCTAGGAGGCTCAGCCAGGGGACGACAACAGACACAACTGAAAATCTCTTGTCCTACCAGGAAGGAGGAGAAGCAACTTGATTGAAACAAACATCAACACGTGCCAACAGCAAGATGACGGATATGTTGGAATTAGAGGGCAGAGACTTTAAAACAGCCGTGACGAAAATTATTCAGTGATCAATTGCAAACACGCTGGAAACAAATGAAAAATAGAGTGTCCATTTTAGCAAAGATATGGAAGATATAAAAAAGAATCAAATAAAAATTTTAGGACCGTAACATATAATCGAATGAGAAAGTGGAAGGAGTCCCCAGGAGAATGGAGACAACAAAGGAAAGAATCGGTAAACTTGAAGGTAGAACAATAGAAATTGCCCAACAAAGAGCAGATTTTTGGGGGCGGGGTGGACAGAGCTCAGGGACTTGTGGTACTATAATAAAAGATCTAACATTCATGTCATTGGAGGATGGTCTTGGTAATTTAGAAACTTCTATCATGGTGCAGGTATGAGTATTGACAGTCACATTCCTGAAAATTTCTCTCTCTCGAAAGTTTGGTTCATTCTTTTTCTCATGTCTTGTAGAATTTACTGGTCACCACATGTGGCTGCTGAAAAATGTTTTCAATTTATTTCACATTTGCTTGTTTGAGCGTAATATGTTTAATGCTGTAGAGGCAAGAGATAAAGACCTTCATGGATCAAGATTACCAGAAAGAGCTGTGTGCACTGTTTCCCTGGTTCTGTAGCAACATGAAGAAAATATCCCTGCTGGTCACTTCCTACCTCATGCATGCGCACGTGCGCATGTGAATACACATACATACGAGTTTCATTGTCGTAGTGGCATTTAGAAAGCATATTTCATTTGATTTCCTTTGAAATATCCGCCTGATGGAAATGCTGGTGAATGTTATCTGCTGAGGGCGCAGAAGAGACAGGTGGAGACTGGAGTGTTGACTTAGATGCCAGTGTGGCCACCAGGCACTGAGCACCTGGACTGAGGTGCTGTGCTCAGTCCTGTAGATCACCAGGGCACGTAGACATCACAGTACCTGCTGAGGTATATCATGTCATCTTCATTTTATCAGTGAGAGGCTGCATAGCGTGTCCAGGGTCGTCAGCTAGGCGGTGGCACAGCTAGGATTCAAACTTTCATCTGTCTGCCTCCAAAGCCTCAGCCGTTAGCACAACCCTGCTGTATGGTTTCCTCTGGTGGTAGGGATGATTCAGGTGATTTTGCGAAAAAAATCTCAGATTCCTAGAAATCATTTGCTTTTTCTACTTTATGTAATGTTACTACAACTAAAATCTACCCCACTGTCCTGAATTCAGAGTCCTTTATACTTGTTTTTTTTTTTTCCATAAAGCAGTTTTTATGCTTTTAATTTTTGTTTGTGCATTGCAAGATCACAAGAGTAACAGGAACTAGGTCCCGATTTCCTTCCAGTTTGGGAGTTCTTAGACCTCTGCTTACGCATTCCTGCCATGGGTTTTTTCCATCAAGCAGGGCATAAAGCATTTCTACCTCACCAGGAGTTCGATGCTGTCCTCTGGGCCGGTGGGCTCCTGTAGATGCAGGAGTGAGAGAAGGTCTGTTAAGCGCTGGTTCAAAAGCCAGTAGGCGGGATGTCTGTAGAAACTGACAAGCAAGCTGATCCTAAAATTCATGTGGAGATGCAAAGGACCCAACTAAAACAATCTTGGGAAAGAACAATATTCGAAGACTCCTACTTCCTGACTTGAGAACTCACTACAAAGCTACAGTGGTCGAGACTGCATAGTACTGGCTGAAGGCTAGACACAGATCAGTGGAAAAGAACTGAAAGTCAGAAATAAACCCTTACATCTAAGATCAGTTGATTTTCAACAAGTGTGCCAGGCAACTTAATGAGGAAAGAATCGGTTTTTAATAAATGGTGCTGGGGAACTGGGTATCTACATGCAAAAGAGGGAAGCTGGACCCTTACATCGTTTGTATACCAGAATTAACTCAAAGTAGATCCTAGGCCTAAATTTAAGAGCTAAACTCTACAGCTTTTTTCTGTTTTTAATTTATCTATTTGACAGAGACGGAGAGCGTGTGTGTGCAGGGAGGGGCAGAGGGAGAGAAGCAGACTCCGCTAAACTCTACAGCTCTTAGAAGAAAATACAGGAGTAAATCTTTGTAAACTTGGGTCAGGCAAAGTCTTACTTGATACAACACGAAAGTAATTCTTGGTTTGGAAACTTTAACCTTCACGGAAAAAATAGAGCTAGAGGGACTGGATTCAGGAATAATCCTATTTTTAGGTTCAATAAAATTAAGACACAACATGAAACAGGTAATAACTTTTGATATGTGTTAACTTATAACGAGCGTTGTCAAATTTCTTTCCGTAATCCAGTGCTTTTTAGGAACTTGTCAGGGTCCTTCTCACAGTTTCAAGGAAAATATGTGGTTTCATTTTGCTTTCTTGTATGTAGTATGTATAGGCCCTTAGGGGCATTTTTTCCTGCCTGTTCCTGCGTCCAGATAGTCACAGCTTCCCTGATGTCCTGGTGCCCGGGTTGTTGACTGGGACCTCTCAGGCCCTCCCGTGGCCCCTGCAGGGCAGCACAGAGCAAGTTGGATGCTTGAGATGGTCAGCGTCTTCATAATCTTTTACCACTCAGCTATGTTTCAAAGACCCTCCTCAGCTTAGAATTCAGTAAACATTTACTGAGCACCGCCCGTGTGCCAGACACAGGATGAATGAGATGCCCTGATCCCCTTGGAAGTCAGGGTCTAAGTGTCACCAAGTCACCAAGGGCCGGGCAGGGGCTCAGCTTTCACTGGGCTTCCGGTCTTTCTCTGGAGGCCACAGTGCAGAGCGGAGGGCGGACCCTCTTCCTTCCCGCAGTCCTCCTTGTCTTGTTCGCTTCTGCATCCCGCGCCTCTCGGAAGGACTTTCTGCAAAATCAAATCCTGGTGGTTGACTACAGGACGGGGCTTGTGTATGCAGGGAAGGGCCCCCGAGGGGGACAGGTGATGCTCTCCTCGCTCTCGCATTCGAGAGCTTGGCTTCGGTGTACAGGGAGCGTCATGATGAACACCGTCGAAGGTTTCACGTAGACCTCTTACTGCGTAATTCTCAGAAATCATCGTAGGGAAATCAAAGGGCGGTAGCCAAATATTAATGTAGTTTTGCATTCATTAATTTTTTTTTAAAGATTTTATTTATTTATTTGACAGAGACACAGCAAGAGAGGGAACACAAGCAGGGGGAGCGGGAGAGGGAGAAGCAGGCTTCCCGCTGAGCGGGGAGCCCGATGCGGAGCTCGATCCCAGGACCCTGCGATCATGACCTGAGCCGAAGGCAGTGGCTTAACGACTGAGCCACCCAGGCACCCCGCTTTCATTAATTTTTAACGTGAAAACATTCCCAAGATGTATCTTTTCCAGGTGTTATTTTTCCTGTGGAAGCAAGGCTTGGTGAGCGCCTCAGCGTGTGGGACGCCCCGCTGCTGCCCTGGGCACCCTTAGCTCCCAGCGGGTGGGAGAGAGGAGGTGGGTCTCGCTTGCGGGCTGGGTCCTGAGAGCAGGGCTGCCCCATGATCGTCACGGTGCCAATGGACAGGGCGTTTCCCGGGGACACGGGACGGTGCCGGCATGTAAGCGCTCCTCGGGTCTCCTTTCAATGAGCTCTGCAGCCCCGCGCCTGTGAAATCCGGCTCCTCCACCAGCCCCACGCTCCTCCTTCATAAAGGTGACCGTTCTGGAGGAAGTGGCCCCAGACGCCCCTCATCTGGGAATCCCGGCTTCGAGGCACACAGTAAACTCACAGACCCTGGGGGCGGAGCCTGGTGTCATTCCTGGTGAGGTCAGGGGGCAGGAAAGGGCCCGAGTGGCCTGCCTGCACTCTGCTGCTAAAGCCACGAGCCCCCTGCCGCTGTCGCCCGCCTGCCCCCCGCTCTCCTCCCTTCCCATCAGCGCACTTCCTTGAAAGCAAACAGCAGAAAGGGACTTGGGCTAAATTGAGCACGCACAGCAACAAAGAGCCTTGCCGGGCCGTGTGGCGGTTTCTCATCAAGCTGGAGGCGAAGCTGATGGTCCTCGAATCGGTGGGACCAGAGCTACTGGGGAGCGACGGCAAGGACAGATGCACCACGTCCTGGGATATATGGGGGATGGGCAGCCCCCGCCGTTGGCTGCTCAGCTCACTGCTTTCGGGATTCAGGTGCTCTGGATCTTCAGGGCCCAGCCTGCAGTCCCGGACTCAGAGCTCGTTTCCTAGACTCTCGTCTCCCAGAGGGAGGTCAGAGCGCTCTTGGAGGGAGGGCGAGTGGATGTGTGGGAGCCAGGGGGACGAAGCCCACTATGCATCTCCTCATCAGACGTTCGTCCAGCACCTGCTCTGTGCCAGGCGGGCGGGCAGACAGGCCCATCTCTCCTCTCAGGGTCCGCGGGCACTGACCACTGGCTTTGCAGATGCACTCACTTCGTCTTTGCAGGATTCTTTGCTTGGGTCCTTCTCAGGCATAACCGGCGTGGAAGCCTTTCCTCACCCCACCCCAGCTCCCGTGCACCTCCGCAGACTTTCTCTCCCGGACCCTTGACCATTGGTGTTCTCACTGGCCTTGTCTGTCCCTCTGTTCTGCTCTGCAGGCCCCTTATGGAGTCCTCCCTCTGTTCCCGGCACCTTGCTCAGTTTCTGGTTGACACCCCATCAATGTTGAATGGGTGAATGTTGGGGAGGCCCAGCAGGAAGGCCCGGCCCTTACTTGGGGGACTGCCCACCATCCAAAGCCCCGGGTGGCGTCTGAACACTTCCCTTGTACTCGTAAAGAAAAATAAAAACGGATCACCGGGTAGAGCTTCCACGGTCCGAGCTGTCCCTTTGCAGAAGCTGGGGCTGGGATCCCACCAGCCTGGCCTGCCTGCAGGGTACCCTCGAGCTGGGCTTCCTCCCTCAGCCCCAAAACCCGCCTCCCCTTCTCTGGGCCTTCTGGGCTCTTCCCGGAGAATGCTGCCTAGCAGAGGATTGAGGAAAGGGAAAGGACTCTGAAGCCTGCGCTCTTGCTTCTTCCCACAGGTCACCAAGGAAAACAGAAACCACCTTTTGCCAGATATTGTGACGTGTGTGCAGAGCGGCTGGAAGTGAAGACCGTTCGAGCCCCTGCCTTGTGCTCTTGAAGAAATGTGCTGCTTCGCTCGGAGCCTGATCAGTGCCCCACCTGTCAAGGATTTATGCCCTCGGGCTTACGAAACCTGATGGGCCTTTCCAGAGAAAGCCTGACAGCTGTTCTCCATGAAATGTTTAAAAGATCAAATTAGCCTGAAGGCTGGATTGGCGCGACAAGATGAACAGTCCGCTGTGGCTTATTTATGCCCAGAGGTTTCTGTTTATTTCCTCTTGCAGTTGTGCATATGATTTCGGTAAATTATGAAATGAGAAATGTTTTTCAAGAGTATTAGATGGAACTTGCCCCCATCGAAGTTTATACGTGTGTTCCGGGGAAGGGGGAGAAGGGTGTTCGCTACCTAATCAATTTTGCATGTTATGAAAATTAACCCCCTCTCCAGGTGCTTCAGCTCACAGGGATATGAGTTACTCAGTTTTTTTAAAAAAATGGTTACTTCAGAGAAAAGCCATTTTAGGTCCTCCCCACCCATCTCATTGTTTATTTGATTGCTTATTGCTTAATAAAAAGAAACTAAATGCGGTGGTTGCAAACACGTGAGCCCTTTGTGCTTTTAGGTCATTTTGGGGGAAGATCTATGAACTTCCAGGATATTTTAGCAACGAGCCTTAGCTCCAAACCCAGCTGGGGTTCATGCCAGGCGTGCCCCCGTCTGTCCCCAAGGCCCAGTCTAGGCGTGTGGAGCCTAGACTAAGGTGTCCTATGAGCCGGGCGCTGGGCGCACTGCCTGGGAAGCACTTGCGTCTCTGAGCCAGGATGGCGGTTGGGAGCCTGGGACGGGCTCCCTTGGTCCGTCTTTCCCCCAAGGGAACCTCCTGAAGCTTGGTGTGGATTTGCTCAGTCTTTGAGGGGTCACATCTGAAGGGCCTCCTAGATGATGAACTAATCTCATACGAAGGGTGCCTGATCCAGTATGGGGAAGGGGGCATCCCCTGTCCCACTGTCCCTGCCCGGGTGGGTTGTTCAGGGAGACCGAGCTCATTATGTCCGACGGGCTGGTGTGACTTCTGCCAGGCTCCCTGGGACCGAAGGAGCACTGCATGCAGGTGTGGTCTGGGAGCCTGGCTCCTGCATCAAACCTACTCTCGTCCAAAGAGGAGCCCCGCTCGGCCTCAGGTGACCTGAGAAAGGGCACAGTCCGGGGGGAAGTGTCGCGTATGTGCCCCTGAAGAGAGAGCCAGCCTCAGGCCTGGTGCAGCTGGTCTGCCCTGGCTGAAGGGAGCCCCTCAGAGGGAGCCGTTACCGGCCTCCAGTGGTGCAGGCTCCTCGCAGCTGTCCACTGTGCGGAACAGATTCGGGGCGGCCCCCAACATGCATGCGGGACTGCGAGCTTCTGCATACTCTCTCTTTAATGGTAAAGAAACACATGCTTTTAGTGGCAGAGAGAGAGTTTGAACCAAGTCCCTGTGGCTCCAAAGCCCTTGCTCTTTCTACTCCTCCCACTGTGTTGATGCTTTCTGTCCTTTTCAGCGCATCATGTGCCCCCAGATCTCAGCGTTGACATTTAGCTGCGATAAACCGAAGCAGCTATCGGCTGGAAGAACATGGAGTGTTCGCTATGGCAGGGTCCTTAAATTATTACTCTATTACTTGATCAAACGGGATGATCAGGGGCATGTATGAAGGTATCCGATGCCATCCCTCTATTTTAAGAAATGAAGTCTAATAAAGGATAATGTTATGGTCTGAATGTTTGTGTCCCCCACAAATTCAAATGTTGAACTCTGACCCCCAGTGTGATGGTGTTAGGTGGGGCCTTTGGGAGGGGATGCGGTCATGAGGGTGGAGCCCTCATGAATGGAATTAGTGCCCTTATGAAAGAAACCCCAGAGGGCTCTCTCCCCTCGGCCCTGTGAGGTCATGGCAGGAAGTTGGGGGGGGTGGTCGGTGAACCCTGAAGAAGGCCCTCACCAGACACCGAATCTGCTGGCGCCTTGATCTTGGGCTTCCCAGCCTCCAGAACCATGAGAAGTAAGTGCTGCTTAAGCCCCCTCGTCTGTGGTATGAAATAGGATGAATTCACAAATAACTCTGACTCAGGGCCTCAGAAAGGATGGGCTTTCTGCTGAGGTTTAAAGGAGGAAGAGGTGGAGCACCATTTGAGGCCTGCTTCCCGAGCCAGGCCAGGACCAGAGGAGGAGCTGAGCGCGTATCCATCCATCCCTGCGGGTGCCGCTCCCTGAGATGAGGTGCTCCGGGGGAGGAAGGGGTGTGGTGTCAAGGACAGGCTGACGTCAGCAGTTCTCATTTATTCCTGAGTTTGAAATGCCTACTCTCCAAGCAAACCCGGATACCTAGCAGACAGCTGGGTCCGAGGCCAGACTGGAAGGAAGAATTCACTCTGGAAAGCACAAAATGGACATATGCACTGCTGTATGACGAACTTAAGCTGGAATAACATGGCTGGATGGGGCACAGCAGAACTGATTTGGAGAATGAGTTTTACGAAATCCTTCCTTCCTCTTCCCCCGGAGCAGATTGTACCACCAGCCACTGACCACACACATTTAAAAAACGATTTCTTTTTACCTCTGAATAAGCACAAGTGCAGGGATGGCCAAGTTTTCAAACGCGTGGACTGTCATCTGACATGGCTGATGTACATGGCTCACTCCATTCCCAGCCCTCAAGTCATCAAGCGCAAGGTGGGGGGCGATGGTGGCCCAGAAAACATGGAGTGGGCCTTTTTCCTCTTTCTCTTCCTGTCTCGGAGTTCATGAGGGTTGTGTCTGGGAAGATCGCACACGTGTGCGTGTGTGCGTGTGTGTGTGCATGCATGCACGCTGGTGTCAGGTGCCATGTCCCTGGAGCATAATGACTTGGACAAAACCCCCAGGCAGTGGAGGGGGCCTAAGGGGCTGAGTATACAGGGTCTTCGCATTGCACACTTTACGGGCAGGGAGAAGCTGGAGCATCAAGTGATTTTAGAAAACTACTTGCAAACAGATGGCCTCAGCACCCAGTGCAAAATTTAGAATCAATAATGCCAGATTAGCCCCATGATTTATATAAAACCAAGCACTACAGTTTTTAGATCATTTTTAGAGGAGAAACAATTTCATTCAGTGTCCAAATGCAAAAAATAACCCTGTGGTTGTATGCTGGCAGCCCATTTAAATAGCCCCAGCATGAGATGTCACCTTAGGAATATTTCTTTTAAATGGGGGCGAATCCAGTCTTTTGCAAGGAACACCCTGATAAACAGCTGACTGGCTGAAGATCAGATTAACAAGCTCGTGTTTGGGGAGGGACACCTGGGTGGTTCAGTCGGTTAAATGTCCCAACTCTTGGTTTCGAATTGAGTCATGATCTTGTGGTCGTGGGATGGAGCCCCGAGTCAGGCTCTGCGCTGAGCGCGAGTCTGCTTCGGATTCTCTCCCTTCCCCTCTGCCCCTCCCCGCTACCCGCGCGTGCGCCCTCTCAAAATAAAAACAAACAGGCTCACGTGTTGTAAATATAAGGTTCTTTATACCACAATGTAGAGAAAAAGTGTGACTGCAGTGCTGACAGGCATGCGGGTCCAGGAGTGCATCCAACCCCATCTTCCCCTTGGTGGGCACACACACCCGTGCACATGTGTGTGTGTGTGTGTATGCACTCCCGGCATGCACGCCCAAGGCGGTTTTACTCTCTCAGACAATGCAGACTTGTGTTCGGATCGGAGGACTTGGGCCTTACTGTGGTTGACAAACCATGACCGTCCTTGTCTGCTTCCTTTGCACAGAGACGACCCGGATAAGCCATCGGGTCATTGATTGGAGAAGCAGCTCAGGAATCTCTAGCGGAGCGGAATGACATGCATCCAGAGCACTTTGGCTTCTCATCTGCATTACTGTTTCTCGACCTATTGGTTTTCCAGCTCTGTCAGGAGATCCATTTTCTGTGGAACGCAGTGGCCTTCTGGGTTTCTTACTTCTGGGTGCCCAAGAGGGTGGTCAGCCCAAAACAGGCTGACTTAATTCAAGGAGGTGCCCTCTGTGGGGAGGTCACGCTCACAGCTCAGGGCCGGCCATTTAGTCCTTAGGGCTTGGCTATAAAGTTGCCCAAGAGGATTTCGGGGACTGCCAGCCAAGTTTGGTTTGGCCGACTTAGAGAACTGCAGTGAGGTTCTGTCAGCTTTCTCATTAGACAGACACCTGCATTTAAATCAATAATAACCAACTTTGCATCTCCAGGGATGACTGATTTGAGAATGATGCACAGTGTCTCTGATTACAGAGCCCACCTATTATTATTAATTGGCAATCCTTACTTTGAAAAAAAAATTACCATCTGCTTCCAGGGGGAAAGAAATTCTCTGCTGTGCCCTCCCCTAGCCCCCACACTTCAAATCCTAGATACCTTGAAGAAAGTCATGGGACTATCTCCAAAGTGACTTATTTCTAGCTATTGTCTTTCCAGAAGGGATGGTTCACCAGGTCAGTGATGCTCTTCTTCATAGACTGTGTTTCAGGACTCCTTCACCCTCCAGTACATCCACAAGAAGTCAGGTTTCTGCTTTCCCCGGTGACAGGCTTCACTTGGGGAAGGTCCCAGAATTTGCCCAAATGCCATTCTCACAGTACAGGATACCCCAGAACTCACACAACCGGACACAGCCATAACTGTAAACATTTTAATTCCCAAAACAAAGGTGTGTGCGAGTGTTCTATGACACGGGAAGGATGGCTTGGCTCGGAAAACAAGCGAACATTCCTGCGAGTGGACAGGAGTGCCGGGCGAGACAGGCCTGGCTCGTGGGGACCCGCGGGACTGCAGTCGAGCATCATGTGAGTCCGGATGGCTTTCCACACTCCCACAGGACTCGATGTCTACACTCGGGTCACTAGTATACTGTAGACATGACTGCATGCACTACCACGTTTCAGTAAAGCTGCCATTGGCTTATACTTAACATCTGCATAAATGTGCTAGAAGAGGTGAGGTTTTCTTTACGCGGCGATGGAACCCTACTGCGTCCTGAACGTGGTTTACGGGAATGTCCAAAATGCCAATTGGTTAACATGCAGTTGTCTTATTTTCTTCAGGGCAGGAAAGAGGGACTTAGGCGCTCTACTTACTCTGGCTGTTTTAAGCTATTACATGGCTTTTGTTAGAATTTTCAAATTCTGGAAGTTGTGCGTGCCACGCCCGGGAGCTGGGGGAGGGGGTGGGGGGGCAGCTTGGAGCAGCGTCAGGGACGGGGGTTGGGGTGGGGAGGGGAGGGAGGTGTGCTGTCAACTGTTTTATTGCCATGGGAGACTTCCTTCGAGAACCTGCGGTAGCGTCCCTCCGGTTTCTAGACTGGCTCTCGTGGCTGCAGAGCAGGGCCCCCCTCCAGCCCCTGCCCCTACTGCTCATCCGAAGCACTCTGCTGGGAGGCCGTGTCGTCCAGGCCCATGTCCTCCTGGCTGGCTCTCCTGCACAGCAGTTCCCCGTTCTCTGCCATAGCCCCAGCCGGACGGCGGTCGCAATGCTGCCCCTGCTCGGTGGCCTCGGTGGGTTCACACGGCTCAGAGAAGTGCTTGAGAGAGAGGAGAAGCAGGGAGCCTCAGCAAAC